TAGCTGTCTAAAACTGACTTTGGCCTACAAAAGGCCACCTCCCAGCGCTATAGGCTGTCCTGTGAGGTAGAATCCTGTCCTGTGAGGTAGAATGAAAAGAACAAGGTCATATAATGTACACTGTCACTAATAAAGGAGGTACAACATCTTCCCATCCTCTGCTCAGCGAATGCTTACCAAGCAGCTACCATGTGCAGGCTCTGATGGCAAGCTTCCCTCTTTCTCATCGCGAAAAAGCCGGGTCAGCATGATGCTTGCTTCCTGGTTTGACCTATACAAAGCATTGTCTCCACCACTTAAGTCTGCATCTTAAAAATAAACCGTAAGAATTAAGTGTGAACCCCAGTAAGATCCAGCACTTGTCGGCATGGTGAGTACAGAGGACCGGTGGGAAATGATTTAACTATTCATGGAAGATGAGGGATGCGAGGGAATTTGTACTGCCTTAAAAAAATCTTGAAGGTTCGAATGGGCAAGCATGGTCTCCGCTATCTTTTTTTTTTTTTCTGTAGATTTGGAGCCTCTCCTGGAACTAGCTCTTGTAGACCAGGTTGGCCTCGAACTCACAAAGATCCTCCTACTTCTGCCTCCCGAGTGCTGGGATTAAAGGCATGCGCCACCACCGCCCAGTGGTCTTCGCTATCTTATGTAAGACAAATAGCTAGGATTTGGCTATTGCCTGACTGTCTGCTAGGAGTGGATCAGCTGCTACTCAGATTGCCACATTGTACCCTTAAATAGAAGAAATAAAAATGTGTTAAGTTTCCCCAAAGATGGATACTAGATGTGACAGTGGTGCTGTGATCACATTGACGGTGCCATGTCGGAAAACGTTCTCTGAAAAGTGGAACTTCTATCAAACCACATCCATGTCCTGATGCTACCAGAGAAGGCATCTTGCCTATGTCAAGCTCCGTCTCTTGAGTTGTTCCTGTATGATTATGCTTTTAATAGTGATGTGGACTTTGTGATAGCCGCAGAGGACTTGGATACACATGTTTCCTTTGTGTCTGTATACACACTCATGAGAATATTTGGCAAGATTGAACCCAGTCAGACCTCCACTATCATCTTTGACCCCTGGTCCTCCATTTTTGATCCTTATAGTGAATTAGCTGATGTTAAAGCCCTTGCCCACTTAGCCACTTCCCTTTCGATGGTTCCCCTCCTGGATGCTTTCTGCAATCTGCACTCTGGTGGCATAGGAAGGGTGTGTGTACCTTGACATTCAGATATAATATCCTTTCATGGGAAACAATCACCTCCCCTAAAAATATTTCACAATTTATTACAAGCCAGGTGGTTTCACTATGAAAGCCAAAACCCCATCACGTGCAAACCTCTAACTGCACACATGTAAACAGCTGCATCCTCTAAGTGGTACCTAATGCCGATTCATGTCTTTAAATTCATTTGATTACTGGCTGTATTGCAGCAAATGAAATGCTGGGACGTTGAAATGAGAAGTGACTGCCCCGCTTCCTGCTTTATGGGTTTCATAACGTTCACTTAAGGTGCCGTCTTCTGCCAGCAGCTTCTCCTATATACCTCTAATCCACAGCCGGCATCCTTTCTTTATCTGATGAGAGCAGGCTGGAATCATGGCCTCTGGACCATCTATTTCTAAAATAAACGTGAAAAAATGAAAACGCTTTTTGTTTCTCTTTAATCAGTTGCCATTCTGTCTTCTCTGTAAATCTGGGGTGGGTTTCATCAAGGTCGGATTCCTGGCTATGATCTGGGACCTGCAGTAGAGGGCGCTGGGCCGCAGTCTGTGTATGCTGTTATACTGTTACTATTTTCTGTGAAGTTGAATACATTTTTGAAGCATTTTCTAAGTTTTCTGGATGTTCTCTCTCTCTCTCTCTCTCTCTCTCTCTCTCTCTCTCTCTCTCTCTCTGTGTGTGTGTGTGTGTGTGTGTGTGTGTGTGTGTGTGTAATGTATGTGTGGTCATGGGTGCTAGACTACACACGTGGAGGAGAGAGGACTTTGTGGAGTCAGTTGGGATCTAGGGATACAGCTGATATCACCAAGATTGCTATGCCAGTACCTTTACCTGATGACCCATCTACTACCCCTCTTTTAAAGTTTTCTTGCCATGCAGGAGAAGATTTGGGGTTGAAAGACAGGGTGGTGTGTGTTAGCAGAGGTCCAAGAGGCCAGCTGTGCAGACATGTTGCCCAAACACCCAAATTCCATCACACAGATGCTTTCTAGTGTAATTGTTAACGCGTGTGCCCTATGAATGGAGCAGGGCTCCGATGCTTCTGGGGCCCCAGCACCACCTGAATGGCTAGCTCAGGACCTCTGTTGGCAGCAGTCCTGAGATTCCTGGTCTCCACTGTCACGTATCACTTTGGTGAATCTTTCCAAACACAGCTTCAGCATCACAGTTATCACAGTGTACTAGAGGAAATAAAATTCCTCAAGCATCAGGTTCTAACCCTGGGCATCCGGGAACACCTTGTTTGGTCTTTGCAGGTCTGAGCTAAGGCTTTCAAAGGTGCAGACCATCTCAGTTATTGGGGGGAGGGCTAAAAGCAATCGTAAGGGGTCTACTTAGGCAACAGAATGAGATTTCATGAGATTCTACACGGCGCTCACTCACACAGGAGATGGCAACATAAAATACTTGGGCAGAGATTTCAAACTTCCAACATTGAAGACGAAGGAGACCAATAACCCATCGAAGAGGCCAAGCACAGATTTTCCCCAGCACCCTCCAGCACAGTCATAGCCCCGTGACTTCTTGACTTCGGTCTAGTTTGGCTTCCAGAGCTTTGAGAAAATACATTTCTCTTCAACAGTGTCAAGTGTGGTGACTTTACCAGAGCTACCAACCCCGAAGACACCCTGATGGGAGGAAGTCCCTGGGCTGATCCGGAGCAGAAAGAATGGCCCTTAGGGCGTGGGAAAGCAGCCTGAGTCCACAGGTGGCGTGCGTTCCAGGTCTGAGGTCTCTACTGATGTAGTTGTCTGTATTTGACAGAATGCCTAAGAGAAGCCTGATAAAGGAGGAAGTTGTGTTTGGACTGAAGGTTTCAGTCCATCACGATGGGAAGGCATGACGGAGAAGCTCATGTGATGTGACAGGAACCCATCACAGATGCTGGTCATAGAACAGCAGAACAGGAATCAGAGGATGCAGCAGGACCAGGGACCACATATGATCATAAAACCCCACACCTAGTGACCACATGCCAGTTAGACCCACCTTCTAAAAGATCCACAGGCTCCCAAAATACCATGACCAGACAGAGCTCAAGCATTCAAGACATGAGCACAAACTGTAACTCAAAGAGCCTAGTGCATGTATCTCTTCTGTTGAAAACCCTGTGTTCAGTCGAGAGGTGGCGCAGTCTCTGAAGCTGGTAAACTCAATCTCATAGTGCAACCATGTGTTTGAAAGCTAAAGCCCATTCATTCCATCACAATGACTCTACGCTAGCAGGTCTATTTCTCATTATGATGACAGTTGACCCTAGGATACGACCTCAAATTTGGCTTATGGGCCAGCAGTCCTGATATCACCTGGAACTGCTTTAAAATGTCCTCCCCTAGATCTGCCTAACCAGAGTCTGCATGTCACCAAGTTCTCTTGGGACTGTGTTCCAGGCACTAAAGATGCTTAGCTAGGAATCAGGAAGTCAACAGACTGAAATGGTTTATAAGCAGCTGAGCCCAACCTGGTGGCCAAGACCTATAATCCCAGCTACACGGCCTATCAAGGTAGAAGGATTGAGAGTCAGAGGCCAGGCTGGGTTACTTAGCAAGATTCAGCCTCAAAAGCAAACAAAAGGACTGGGAGTGTATATAATGGTTAGTGCCTGGCTAGCAGGTGTAAAGCCACAGGTCCAATTGCTAGTATGTAATAGTAAATAAACACTTGGCCCACAATCTGTAAGCATCACTGTGCAGGAAATCTCTCTGTTTTACAGACATCTCTATGTTCGCAGCACCTCCTGCCCTGGCTGGCATTAGACTGCTTTGCCATAATACATTCTTTAAAAAAATAAAAAATAAGAAATAGCGATAGTGGCTTTTGCCCAGCATTTGGCCAAGTGCAGCTTTCGTTTGGTTTCCCCATTTACCAGCTTCGCTTTGCTTTCTGCAAGCAACAGTGAGTGCAATGTCAGCAGAGGCTGCGCTCCATTCAGCCCAGCTGGGCTTTCTGTTAGCCATTCTCTGCTGAGATGAGCAGTCCTGCCTTCCTGGGGACCCAGTTTGAGAGCACTGTGGGTGTTCTCTGGGCTTGTAATTGCGTGGCGTGTGTCGGGCATCGCAGTGTTACCATGGAGCCCATCACTGTTGGTCTGGCTTTCCATTACCCATGTTTTTGATCTCTCTGAGGATAAATCCTGTGGGCAAAACTTGTTCAGATTTGCTTTTCTAACCCTGATTCATCACACAGGAGCATTTTGACCAGATATCAAGAAAACGCCCAGGAAACTTTCCTTTATCTTCCTCCAACCCTTCAGCTCAAAATGTTTAAAAATTGGTCTGCTTGTCCAGGTTATAACAAGAGCCAGATTTAATCTGTTTTTCCCTTCCAAGCCTGCATTTTACTGCCCTAAGAAAGGCATTGCTTGGGCCAGTGTGATGAACCTGCCCTCTTAGGTCTTGCTGCTTTGGGAGAAAATGCTTCTCATCTGGGTCCACTTGAAATAGCCAATGACTGCAGCAGAGAAGACCAGAAAGGATATCTGATTACTGAAAGGAAAACTCTTTGGCAATGACTTTTTATATAGATGCAATATCACACAAACTGCCTCTATTCCAGCTCTCTCCTTGATCAAGCCTCTGAGGGCTATGCCACCAAGACTTCTTCATGAAATCACCAGGCCTGGGGATTGAATGCAAGAGTACCACATTTAATTATCTCCCTGGGCAGGAAAAGCAATCAGAGAAAGAAAAAAAAAAACAGGAACACATTTAAATGTTACCCAATCTTCAAACCAAATATTTATTTAAAATAACCATATGGCAAAAGAAATGTTGAATTGATTTGATATTTTCTTTCTGTTCCTCCTAGGCAAAGTAAGAACTGAGTGGCTGTGGTTTTTAAATAGGATTAACTGGTTTTAAAGGAAAACTAGATGTGAAGTTAGACTTTTTTTTTTTTATTGTAGAAAAGGGCATTGCTTTTGCTCTAGAGGAAATCATAGCTGGCGTCTCTGATGGTGTTGTGTTGTTTTCTGTTGAACATTGCTTGTATGAGTAGATATTTCACAGAACACACTCCTAAAACAGGTTCTCATCTCAAGGTATTAGATTAGATTATTCCATTAGCAGATTATTAGATCCATTCCTGGGGGACACACCTCAGGTTCCAGTAGGCATCTTTCTGAGAAGCTGCAGTGAAATGAAAGACAATATCAACAGAATGCAGGGATTTATGGGAGCTGCCTAAGCCTGTGATCCCCATCTGACCACCGTGACTGTATAGGCAGGGAAGCAAGAAGACGCCTACCTGCACCATCATTCCCTGACTTCATTCAGCTGGAGTTTTCTCTGCTACTTGAACTACTACTAAGAACCTAAGAGGTTCTTAAAGCCTTTTAGGTCCCATCCACTAATTTCAGGAGCCCTGTGTTTTCTTCTTTGGAAAACAAACCAACAAAATACCTTGCTAATGTATCTTAATTTTTATTTTGTGTTGTGTCTAAAATAAATCTTCACTTATGGCACTGATCTCAAAAATGTTTGTTTCTAGGGGCTGGAGAGGAAGCTCAGCCTTCGAGAATGTAGACTACTCTTGCAGAAGACTGGAGTTCAATTTCCAGCACCTGCAATCGGCAGCTCACAACAGCATGTAACACTGGCTCCAGGAGAACCAACACCCTCACCGGCCTCTGCAGGTACTGCACTCATATATAAAAACTCACTCAGACACACAGGCACAAAGACAGACAGACAGACACACACACACAAACTTGAAAGTAGTAAAATAAATCTTTTTAAAAAATGTTTCTACCTGGCATCCTCAAAGTGAGTATTCAACACAGGACATTCTCCACTCTTCAGGGACATTCCCTGGAAATCTAAGCACCACACTTGAGGGCCAGCTCTCTTTTTCTATGCTAGGTTTATCAGCCCTCAGCTCAGGACTATAAGGTTGGACAATTATAGTCTTTTACAAAGGATGAACTTGAAGCTCACATAGACCAGACGAGTAACCTCTCTATCTGGTCAGTCTCTACCATTCCCATGGATCTCAGCTTAGGCATCACGTCTAGGGAAAGTGCTTCTTATCACATAGCAGTGACTGTTGTCTAGATTGTGGTACTCCTAGCAACAAGTCTTTCCACTATTACAACTTCTTAAGAAACGTAGAATCATCAGTCTACGCATCGTATTTTCTCCCCCCTCTACCAAACTCTGAGCCTTTTGGTGAGCTCCTGTGCTCCCTCCGGAAGTATTGCAAATACCTATGTAGATTTACCTACTCAGAATGCCAGGTAATGTACCTACCATTCAGCCTGAGTTCTTCTCTCCTGCCCAGCAGTCACTATTCCCTTCTGGGAGATGTGTCCTGGTGTTACTTTGGTGAAATCAGTTCTCTCATGACCTAGGTTAGTGTGCTTTCCCACTCTGTGCTCCTGGAAGACACAGACAATCATAACATTGTTCCAATTGCCTAAGTGAATTTTCTCCTCGCTGTAATTAATTAAAGAATTATTTCATAAAGTAACCAGAATTATTTCACAAAATAACCAGAATTCTAAAAAAAAAAAAATGTTCAAAGAAGCTTTGCAACAAAACTTTTTTTTAAATTCCTGCCCAAGAAGAATTCTCATACAGAATAAGTCTGAAAATTCCCTGAAGTTTTTCTGTGCCAGATTTCCCAGGTCTCTTGGCATGACCAGCCAGTGATTAGGTTGTTTCACTGTCATTGTGATGACTGACTCAAGAGTGGAAAGGACCCCCAAGGCAGGACAGGTACACGTAGCAGGAAAGCTCTTTGCATTGGCCCCAGGAAGCCTGGAGAGGATGGTAGTAGCCAGCTTTGCCTTAGCTCAGGAAGAACTGCCCTGGGAAGAAATCAACATCAGGACAGAAAAGGAAACTGGGAGACTCTGAGATTAGTTTCCAGTGACATCTACGGCAGCTGGATCCATCTGTACTAGGAGTAGGGCTGGGTTCAGAAGCCTAATTTCCTGAGCCAGTGGAATCCTGGCTTTTTCCTTTGAGCCTATTTGAGCTAAGATCAAAAAGTGCTAATTAATCCAACAGGTGGTATATTTAATCAGCACCCTTGGGTAGAACTTAACATTTCTGACCGAATAGGAATTGGCCAATAGGCACTGCATCTGACCATGTGACGTTTCCCAAGATTACACACTTGATGAGCAACAGAATCAGGAACTAGAACTTGGGTCATTGTGGCTACAGATGCCACTGTCTCAAAACCATATACATACAGAAAACAACAGGAAGTTTAATTAAACCACAGTACATCATCAGGTACCCAGGTTAAGGGGGCTCTCAGGATATAGATACATAGACTTCTATTTGGCATGCAAGATGGAATGGGATGGGGTGAAGGAGATGGTAAGAACTTCTTTACTTAAAAGCAACATGATGCAGTGTTTCCCTGGCAGTGGACAAGAATGCCCAATCACTAGAATGCAACTCTCTCAGTCAGAGTATACTTAACCTCTTGGTCTTCTACAGATTACTTTCATAGCCAGGCTTTCCGATGTCTTAATGGGTTTTAGGTTTTGTTCTTGTTGTTGTTGTTGCTGCTGCCGCCATTTTCCTCTTGCTGTAAGAAAACACCTTGACAGAGCCTGTGAGATGGCTCTGTAAGGAAGGGTGCTGTCCGTCAGGGCTGATGACCTGAGTTCAATCCCTGGAACCTACATGATGGAAGGAGAGAACAGACGCCTTCAAGTTGCCCTTGGACCTCCACATGGGACCATACACAGACACACTAAACAAACATGTTAAAATACCCTTACAAAAGCAACTTAAAGGAAAATGGGTTTAATTTTGCTCACGGTTCCAGGGCAGGCAGTTCCAAGTCTTCACACAAGACATCCCAATGCAACTCCTACAACACTTTGGCTTAGAGAAGACAACTGATGACGGTTTCAGAGGCTGGTACCTTCCATGGGGATTGTGGAGAGAGGAAAGAAAGTGTCTCTGCTGGTTTGTCTCCTCACGTGGACCTTCCCTTTGCCACAGCATCTTGGTTTAGAGTAGACAGAGCTTAAGCACTGGGGTGTTGAGGATTTGAGGATTATCCACTCTCTGACAGAGAGTGAGGGGTAGCATGTATCCGTGTGTATCGCATGGCACACGCATCCTGGCTGAAGGGCAACTGAAAGAAATTCCTCCATTGTCGTTACTCAAGAGATCCCCATTCCCAGAGAGGTCTAGACCTTTTAGGAATACCCCAGACACTGGCTTGTTTCCTGGAGATTTGCCTCCACATATCTGGACTTCAAGATCCCCGCATCATTTCTTCCATGCGCTGTATCCCTAACATTCACGAGCATCGTAACTGCACGGCTGCTTTAAGGACTGCCTTCTTGACACAAATGTGTGTGAAGCTCACATGAGGAGCTGTTCTCAGAGAAACGTTAACTCCACTAGATGTCTGATTTTCTCCGTTCTATACAAATTGCCTTCTCCAAAAACACTCTTTCATGCTAATGTCGAAAGATCTATAAGACACTTTCTTCCTACTTCAGATACTCAGGCAGATGCTGCCATCTCTGGTGCCTTCTCCTTCCTTTGGTTTAGATGCAATTCAAGTACCTCAATGGGAAGCGTCATCCTACAGCACCTACCAATCGTTGCCTTTCCGGTGCAAACCACAGGGTTACACGGGTATCTGAAAAGGTGCTCCTCATACTAGGTAGGTACATGTGTTTGGGTGTATCTGTGTGTGCTAGTGGTTGTAGCCACAGGTCAAGCTCAGGGGTCACTCCTCAGCAATGATCACTTTGTTTTTTTTTTTTGTTGTTGTTGTTGTTTTGTTGTTGTTGTTGTTTTGAGACAAGAGTCTCTCGCTGAAACCCAGACCTTATGGATTAGTCTAGGCTGGCTGCCCCACTGAGCCACAATGATCCTCCTGTGTTTTTTCCCCAGTGCTGGCATTACAAGTGTTTGCCACCACACACAGCTTTTTGCTTGGGGTACTTAGCATCAGGCATGGATGCTTATGGTCTCATGTTCCTGGTTTGGCTATTGTCCCAGGCCTGCCCATTCTGCCCCACTCAGTCCCCCACATGAAGAAGTGTCAATAACTTTGAAAGATTGCTTAAGACTATAGGACGTCACTGAAAATCCTGCAGAGATAGAAAAAACGACGGAAGCAGGAGCTTCCATAGACAATCTGCTGCGTCTCGCTATGAATGCATTTACGGTGTTGTTTATGCAACACTGGCACAGGCAGGTCCTGATGATGGAATTTAAACCTCTCAAATACTAAGAAGTGCTCCTCATCCGTGGTCCTCCCCCCCCCCACACACACACCTCACACTTCTCTTAGCCGATGACTTTGAGAGTTGCAAGTGTCTCTTTTTTGTTTTCAGTTCTGCGTGACGAAGTTCTTTTCTTTGGATAACTGCACACAACTTGCTATTCTCTGAAAAGGTTGTAGGAAAGAGCTTCTGGAACGTTACCAACTTGGCAAGGTTCTTCTGGCAAGAGCTCTTGGTTCTAATAGAGCAGGATTGGACTGAATTAAGGTGCTAAAGCCTTCTACGTAAATGTTCCAAGTCTTTTCTGAAGCAGTAGCAGGGTGTTTACTAAGCTGAAACAGATAGCTGTGGGTACTGGCTGGGTACCAAGCCTTTAACTCTGTTTACTCGACATGCCGGCTTGTTTATTTCACCAGGAAGCTAAGGAACAGGTTATTCCAAATGGCCATCACTTGTCATCGGTCTTTTCTCAAATGCTGTATTTCTCTTATTCCAAGGATGTTACAGGGGCTCACCTTGGAATTATACAATCCCTGCTGTGGTTATGGCTGAAACCCAAGCTCTGTTCTCTCTAATATTCGCTAAGCCTTCGAGCAGTGGGTTTTCAGCTGGAGACAATTCTCACCCCGGACTGCATCCAGCAATGTCTGCAGATGTTTCTACCAGAAATGGGCTGGATAAAGAGTTCCTACTGTCACTTCTTTCTGCCATCCCCTGAGTCCTTTACACTAGTGCCTGGACTGTGGGGGACCAAGCCTTGGCGCAGGCCTCTTTTCTCTCTCAGTGGTAGCAAGCTTTTAGTAATGAACTATGATGGGTTAAAGACACTCATTCCAACATCTAGAAAACTATTAACATAAAATCCAAGCAGTTATATCTTTAAAATAATGGTTCAAGTAGAATTATAAAAATATCTATCAATCAAATGAAAGTATATAAAGAGAAATAAAAAAGACCATAAACAAAAATTAGTGAAATGATATATTTAAAACACTTGGTCTACAATTAATTTTAAATCTGAAAGGAAAAAGTCCTATTACAGAGCCGGGCGATGGTGGCGCACGCCTTTAATCCCAGCACTTGGGAGGCAGAGGCAGGCGGATCTCTGTGAGTTCGAGGCCAGCCTGGTCTACAGAGCTAGTTCCAGGACAAGCTCCAAAGCCACAGAGAAACCCTGTCTCAAAAAAACCAAAAAAAAAAAAAAAAAAAAAAAGAGGGAAGCAATGTAACAGCATGGTGACTCAGTTGTGTGCCAGGTATAAAGGAAAAAGGATGGAAAATTAAATAAAATATAAGAAAGCTGAACTGAGTCTGTTAATATCAGATCAATAAAACTTCCTGGCAAGAAGAAAAATGGTAGAAAATCAATCTCCCCGGAAAGCTGCAACAAACAAGCATAAAAATGCCCAAGTCAAAATCAAAATCCATGAAGTCAATATTGACAGATGATCCTATCCTCATAATAGCAAATATTAAAGCCCTTCTCAGCCAAACAAGGATTACCTGAAAATGCACACATGTGAGCACACACACACAATTACAAACAAAAAAATCTTTAAAATTGTGATTCTGATTGCTCTCATATAAAAATAAAATTAGCTTAGATGTGAATAACAAGATTTCTAGAAAAATCACAAATAAACGACACTAACCCATGAATTTCTAAATAAACCTTATGTCAGAGAAAAGAAAATTGCAAGGAAAATTCAAAGTGTGTCTAATTAAATACAATTAAAATGTCATATATTGAATATAGGGGACGTACTTAAAGCTGTGCTTCCAGACGGCTTTGCTGTGATAAATGCTAATTTCAGAAATGGGAACAATCTAAAATCAATGCTCTGAAACTTACTAGATAGAAGGGAAAACATGGAATAAGTGAGAAAGCAAATGATGGAGGAACCGAATCTAGATAAAGATAGACAGAAAAGGAGATTTTAAAGTTAATATTTTCAATTGTCTTTTCCTTCAAGAAAAGAACAAAACGTATACACTTGCACCTGCAATCTGAGAAACAGAAGAGAGCGTAGTGTGCATTGACAAGAAAAGACAGCTGTGCTGTTTGGCCTCAGTGTCACGTTCCCGATGCTTGGGGAAACCCCATTGACGCTCCTCTCCACTTACCAGCTGTGGACTTTATTCAGACAAGTCTCAAAAACTAGTTTAAC